TTGTATTAGCTTACTTTTTATAATAGCGACTGTACTCTCGAATAAAAGCAGCGAGGTGGCCACAGTCTTCAGTGCAAATCGTCTTTGAAGGGCTCCTATTTGCATTTCTTTCAGTAGCGCAGCCTATCTCTGAGAAATCTCCCTTTCACAGGGGAGTGCGGGAAATGTTTAGATAAGAATCATTGTTCATAGAGAGTCTGGGCTCTTTTTGTGTGTTTTTTTTTTTTTTTTTTCCTCAGACATCTCTGATCTCAAAGGCTATAATATCTTTTATTTCATGTGTTCTGCACTCTCAATGCTGACAGTAAAAAAAAATACAGAAGTGAAAGAAGTTTCGGCTCTGAGTGAGTTGCAGCTTGGTTGGATGAGTAATGCGGAGCGAGTGAATAATGGTGTTTAAATGGTTCCTGGGCGAAGGACTTGCTAGCTGAGGAGCTGCAACGTTTAGTTTTTAAACATAAGCAGTGTCCTTTTTGATGTAGTAGTTAGAGGATTATGATATATAAGCTGTAAGTATTGAGATGTGCAGTGCTCCTGATTGCTTGGGGAGACTAATGGGATGTATCCAGTGTGGTTTTGAGGAGACTTAATTAAAATGAAGGTTGAACTGGGTTTTGATTCAGAATGAGATTAGAAGTCCGTTTATATTGATGCAAACAAGAATGTTTTGCTGAAATCTTTCACACAAGGCACTCTTTCACTTACTTTGTATCTCTGAAAATTAGATTTTCCTCCTTTCTGTCTCCTCTATGTATGGAAAAAAGGGATGGCATCACACGTCCTTCTGTCTTCAATACACACATATCTCATAATCAGGAAGAGGGTAAATACTTCTTATAATGTAGGAATTTCTTAAATTTGGATCAATTTGCTACTGGAATCAGTGCATTAGTGAGTGTCCCACTCTGGGCTCATAAATGGTTGGAGCTGCTGCCGTGTATTCTACCTAGTCGGCTTCTGCCTTGCTCCCAGAGTCACATTCATTGTTTCATCCAGAGGCAGATGCGGAGTTTTCTCAGCCCTTAGAGGCAGGAGAGCGTCTGCAGTGAGAAGCAGAGGTCGGAGCGGGTAGGGAGGCCTGTGTCCGTAGGGATTGCTCCGGAATTGCTCCTCCCTTGCTCTGGTTCCCCTGGCAGGACCTGCTAGCTGAGCCCCAGGTACGAGCACAGCCCCGAGCCCGGTGACACTGGGGCAGCCGTCCCTGGGATTCACAGAAACCCTGGGGTCGAGAGCTCCTGCACACCTGCCAAGAAGGTTCTTGGAAGCCTCTAGCAGCCTCCGCTTGTGTCCTGTGAACAGGAATTTGTTCCTAGCCGTGCTGACTGCAGCGCTAATTGAATCTTTTTATAAATCATTCCTGTACCTTCCTGCCGGCTAGGGCTGCAGGCAGATGTTCATTTAACAAGACATCTGTGGTGGTTTAGGATGTTACTGTATCCCAGCTGTTCCATCTTTTTTTTAAGGTTATTGGCCTTGTTTTGTGTATTTAGCAGCTCTGTTGTGTGCAGAGCGGAGAGAGGAAGGGAGGTTATTTCTGCCCAGGACAATTTAGAGGTTCTGGCCTTGGAGAAGGAGGAGGATGGAGCTCGGGAATGGTTCACACAAACACCTTCTTCTAAGCCTGAAAAAGGCAACTCTATCAGCACAGTGTTTTTAGCAGGTGATCTAAAATATCACCTGATTTTGCTGGTAGCAGATTACAGAGGACTTGCAGGAACTGTTGTCCAGTGATATATACATTAGCAGCCTCGTGGCCATGAGGATCTTCGGAAGAGAAGCGTTTCCAGCCACTCCATGTGGATCTGAAAGCTGCCGGCCTTATTTATGACAAGCTTGTGGAAAGAATAAGATCCAGGCTGCACTTTTCCCCTGTATTGTACTCGTAAAGTTAAGCTCCTGCTGCTGGCCTGTAGAGAAAAAGAGAGGAAAAAAGCAATATCTGACCATCAGCAGGCAGATAGGACGCTTCCTTTTTATTGCAGGGTCTTCATCCATGCTGCTCTTGCCATCCTACGTGGGTAGTGAAGTCAGCAAGGCCTGAAGCAGCCTCAGGATTTCTCCCCGTGCAGCTGGAGTACCTGGGAGCCAGGGAAAAGTGGCTTTTTTGGTTGAGTTTTTCCTCCTGTGTGCTACATTTGGTTGCTTGCCTACACTCCGTAAAATTATAGCACCTCTGTTTGCTACAGCCTGAAGACAGAGGTGAATGGAAAGAGGAATGACGGAGGTAGCTAAGAAGTGGAATTGATTAAAAATTCAGGAATAGGTCACGACGCGTTTTTACAAATGACTCAGTTTGATGTAAATATGAGTAAAGTCTCACAGATAATAATTACGTTCCAGCAGACTCTTACCTATGTAAATAAACTTTGCATGCAGTGCAAAATGTGCTTCAAACCCTTTCTATCTTAGGAATTTTTCTCAGTAGATTTTTTTTAAGCCTTAGAAAGATGTCATTTGAGGTTTCTTTTCCTTCTCAGTTGAGCTCTGGTCTGTTGGCCATCCAAAAAATTAACCCTCCTAGAAGGCTGCCCAGTGAGGAAAGGTTTAGGTTTGTTATGTCAGTGGTTTAAGGAGAATGAGTGAAATCCCAAGAATACAACAAAATTCTTGGCTTTTTTCCCACTTTTTTTAAGGGGAATGGAATAAGTGAATTGGGGGGGAGGAATTGGGGGGTTGGGTAGAGGGAAATTTGTCTGCAAACCAGACAAAACTATTATGCAACAACAGTATTATCTAAGACATATTGCTTTATTTATTAAAAGTAACATGAAACAATCCGTTCTTAGGAATATCGATTGCAACAATTAGACCTATAATATGGCCGTTTCAAATGGGATTTTCTGTGAAAATACTAGATTATATTTACCAGTGCAGTGTATATTTTAGTGTTTTGTTATTTCATTTTTTTTTTTCTGAAGCAAAATACATGTTTTTTTTTTCCCTGAAAATCCCTTCTGACGGCTGTGAAATGCAGGTAATGGAAATGCAGACGTAATCCCGGGTGCTGGCGCAGCGGCTCCGTGCGAGTCCCGCGCGGCGCCGGGAAGGCTCTTTGGGGAGTATTTCCAAGGGGCAGATGATGCTGACACACAAGGGAGGAGGATGGTGAGAAGACACCACATGTGCTTGTATCTTCTGAAAAGGGGTGATTGTGCTTAATTAGTGGAGACCTGCGATTTTCCTTAGTGCTAGGCAAGATACTGAAGTATAGTAGAGAACTGAAGGAACAAAGACTGTGCTCAAAAAAAGCTTGAGCCACCCTGTGAGATACTTGAGGGTTGAGTGTGTTAGATGTGGTCATAACGTAAAATCTGGGGCTGTATATAACGATTTAAATGCATTTTGGGTAGGTGGTTGAAGGGCAGTGGGGGGAGCAGCTGGCAACCCCCTCCCGGTCAGCGGGTTGTGTTGGCAGCGACCGCCCCCACAGACCCGGCCCTCTTGGCCAAGGCTCCGAGAGCTGCCTGCAGCCTCGGTTGTTTAGAAGAACTACACCAAATGTAGGTTTATACCTGATGGTTTTGCTTTCTTCCCTCCCAAATTGCTGCTCCAAGCATTAAAAGTGTTACTTTTCCTCAGGCAGCCGTGCTGCACGACTCTGACGGGCGGCTGTTCCGCTCCTTCCCCGCGGGTACGGGTGGCGATCGCTCTGCCCAGAGAGTTTCGGGCAGCGCCGTCCCGTCCAGGACGCGGGCGCTCGCTGGCTCTGTACCTGCCTGCGTGGGGTGACGTCTGACGGGGACGCGGGACAGCCGCCTTCGGTAGCCCCGCAGTTCATTCTGCTTTAGATGCTCCTGTTCTGGAGAGCTGCCCTGGCCGCTGGCGGGGTGGTGGCTGCCGGGGGCTCCTCTGGGGCCACGTGTGTTACTCGTGCGGTGTCTCCCCTTGGGGATAAGCGGGCAGGATCAAAGATAACCTGCTGCCTGAGGCTGCTGCCACGTCCTGCAGCGCTGTCCGGACCTGCTTGCGAGGGGACCACAAAGATCGACTTCCCTCTCTCTATCTCCTCTTGCTTTTCTCCCTCCTTCACAAACCGAGCGGTTTGTTTCAGGTTTTAGCTGTCCCTTATTTCAATCCATTCCTCCTCTGCTGAGACCACACTGTTCCCAACGCAGAAGGGGCCTTACGCTCAGGGATCGCAGCCCCTCACCCTGAGCAGGCTGCAGACCCGGAAGGTGGTCATCTCTCCCAGAGATGCCACACGTGCCGTGTGGGCAAATGATTATCAGGGAGCTCAGGGGAACCCGAACTGCCCCCATTTGGATGTGGATAGTTGAACTGGGGAGGCCGAGTGCCAAGTGCCACCACTGGGAGCTGTGGCCGGCGCCGAGAGGCTGCAGGCGGCCGCGGGGGTGGCCTGGGCTCCCACCTCGCTGGGAGCCGCAACAGCCGCCGCGGAGCTCGGCTGCAGGGCGCCCGCCCGCACCTTTGTGGCCTCTCCCACCGGGACAGCGTCCAGCCAGCTCCAGTCTGTAACGCAGAGCTGCTCTAGTGTGTCAGAATGGTCGTTTCACCAAAAACAGCATGTAGTTTTTCAATTTGCCTGCTCAGTCTTGCTGTCCTCTAGAACGTCCCTCCAAGGATGCGCTCAGTGGCTTCGTGTTGGTTTTGTAGTGTGTACAGCTCCCGGGCAGGTTTGGGATTGCGGCTCCCCCGTTATCTGCTGTGTAATGAAAAATGCAGAGAACAGTCGGATCTTAAAATCTTGCTGATTTAATTTATTTTTTTTATCAGTAGAAGTATGTGATTAAATTTTTCATATAGTAATAATCATAGGACTTAGGGGGTCAACTGCTGATTAAAGGGAGCCTTGTGGAACTTATTACTTTAAATGGGGAACAAAAAGGGAGGAAACTTGATTTTTTCAAGCCTAATAAATCACCTGTTAACTTCAATGTTATTAATTATTTCTCAATATGAAATGATATTAATCCTGGATAAATTTAAGCTCCAAGTACTTCTAAAAAATTAAAAACAATGTTCTGTTCTTATGTTTTCAGGCCTCGGAGTAGAGGAAAAACTGCAGTGGAGGATGAAGACAGTATGGATGGTTTGGAGGCAGCAGAAACAGAAAACACTGTGGAAACAGGTAATTATGTGTATTGATACAATCTGATTATTCTTTCTCTCTCAGAAATGAATTTAATTACACGGGACCTTGGTAGTCAAGAATTTATTTTTTAATAGTGTGAGAGCTGCATTTGGGCAGATAAAAATTGAAACTATGTAGTGGCTCTTCTTCTGTTCTTGTAAGTCCATGTTTAATAAAAACAAAAGCTGCTGTTTTTAGAATACCTGCCAAAAATACATGATTACTTAGTGACCTATATCTATAACTAACTAAAGCAGTTTATACTAAAGCCATAACCAGGATAACCTAACGTTAATGCTTCCTGCTGCTGCTTAGAAAACAGGAAATAAATCCCTGTTCCTGCTTTTGTAAGTATTTGTTGTGATGGTACCACAACACCTCTGTTACCTGAGGGATCTCATTCAGTTGGACTGGGTGCTGTTGCAAGAGTTGTCAGTTCTTTCCTGAAGGGTTAGGAGTCTGAAGAGACGAGCAGATGAGCTAAAATAAAAGAAAAGGCCTCGCTGAGGATCTCTCATCTCTTTGTCAGGCACTTTTCTGGAACCTTTTGCTTGTTTTTGGCCAAGGAGTGAATGCAAGTAGAGGGATGAAACCTGCGTTAAACTGTGGTCACTCGGCGGGAGTTTGCAGGCTTGATGGAAATAAGCCTTATAAAAACAGTGAGATGTTATAAGAGGTTATAAACTTAATTGGTAACTGTACAGGTTTAAGGAGAGGAAAGCACAGATACACTTAGGAAAGAAGCTGGCTTTCAGGGACAGTTGCACAGGAAAGGCAGCTAAATTAAGGTACGTGCCAGGTACAGGCTGACGCTAAGAGGTAAGAGATGTAGGGGAGGTGAAGTTGTGAACTCCTTAAATATGAAGACAGGAGGCTGGGCTTAGTGTAGATTTACAGGGAGGAGTAGAAGGGAACCTCCAAAGAGCTATTTCTGCAGCAACATTTTATGTCGATCCCCTGGGAATATGGTTGCAATAGTTAAGGCTGCAGAAGAGGAGATGGAAATCCTCACGTGGACAGAGGATGAGCTTTGTTGTGCATCGTGGTCTCGTGCGTCTCGCTTGTCAGGAGCCGACCAGAGCTGGCCGAGAAGGCTCTGTGCCCAGGGCTATAGGCTGCAGGGAGTGTCACGAGAGCTTAGTCACTCACTGCTTGTATTTAATTTCACCATTGCTATTAGGCTGCGGAGGGAGTCTGCGTTCAAGGTTAACACCAGGATGTTCCATCTTTTTGTTTTATCAGTTGTTTTTCTGCCCCTGGGAATAAGCTGCAGGTCGTAGTGAGCCTGTATGGTCTTGCCCAGCTCCCCAGAGTAGGTGGTTACCAGCTATTGAAGTGGAACTGAAAAGCTGTAGCAGCTATTTGCCCCTAGAAAAGATGCAGATTTTAACTATATCTTGTGCTCCATTTATTATTTTTTCCATCCAATTTGGTAGAAATAGTCTTATGAAAAATAGCAAAGGGAAAAGAAATTGTGGTTATGTGTTATGCTTTTATTTATTTTAAGAAATATAAGAAAAAAAAAAAGAAAAAAACAACAAGAGAAACCCCAGCCAAACAGCTGCTGATACACTACTCTTTAGGGAATTCAGTAGAAGTTATATTGCTTTGGATTTATATTTTATTAACCAAGTTCTTCAGCACCCAGAGATCTGAGAATAGGTTTTGCTTTGGAATAGAGAGGATTGTGGAGAATTATTTTTAAGACTCCAAGCGGAAATGCAGATGAAAATCTCCATGTGCCAGCCAAGGCTCTCTGCACTGTGTAGTTGTGCTCCCTGTGTTGGCACTGAGAAACCTGGTAGAAATACCCAGAAAGACACCTGAAATCTGACTGGAAGAAAAGGGACCAAAATGTGCATGAAAGAACGTTTTTGTGTTGAGCAATTTGATAGAGACGTGATCACGATGAAGTGGTTTTGAAAGTTTGCCATCGTAGAGCTTAGTAGAGCTTTAATGATACTAATTGCAAAGGCTGCTGCTTCTGAAACGTAGAGGTACTTATCTATGTCCATAATAGTGTCAGAGAATGAGCAACCCTGGGCTTTTGCTCCCTATAAAACTCAGCCCTGGGCTTTTACTCCCTGTAAAACTGTGTGTTAATCGGATTGGAGCGTAGTTGTCCTCCGTTGTTTATGAGACTTTAATTTGACCAAAAAGATTTTTTTTTCATTTTGTTTTCTTGCAAATAGGGGAATTGCGAGCAGTTTGCTGTAGTAGTTGGCAACCCAACACATAATACAGTAATATTGCAAAACTCACAATGAAGTCATTTGAACAGAAAAGACTTTTGATGTGTGACTTCCAACATATTTCACATCTCTGAGTTTCGAGCTTTTTGCCATCGCTCTGGGCATTGGGGGTAGGAGGGAATTCTTCCGCTATGTGAGGTTTTGGTCTGGTTGCGTTTGGGGACTGGTTTTTATTTCGTATTTTGTCTAGCATAATGGTGCCCTTTTGTGAAGATTAGTGTAATAAAATGAGGAAAAGAAAATCATATTATTAATGCTGTATTTTCTGTAATGAGCATTAGCTTTAGAGAAGGGCAAAATGCAAGAGGAATGAGAACTTTCCATGCATGGAGAAATGGAGGAGGTACCCATGCTATCTCAGGAGTAAAAGTTATCTTTTCTAGCCAGGAGATCCTTTGTAGGGGAAAACCAAAAGGACATGTAAGTACTAAATAGAATTTCTGTTCAAAATGTTGACCAAAATGGTTTTGTTCCCCTCAAAAGGCAGGAGCAAGAAGAGGCAGGAATTCTTCCCAAAATGGACATTATCAGTGCTGTAGCATGGCCAGTGTAATTGCAGTGCAGGAAACAACTGGTTTCGCATAAAAATAAAAAAAAAAAAATGTATAATCTCATTTGTAAAAAGAGGCTGTAGGAGGGGAGCAGGAGCAGAGGGAGCCCTGTGGCTCTGCAAGCCTTTCAGTGGGGCTGCTCATCCCAGCCAGCCTCAGTGATGATGATTTTCAAGTCCTGCCTGTTTTTTTTTCTTATTTTTTTGCCAAGTGTTGAGTTCAGTGCGTTATAAATGAACGTAGACTTCTTAGGGATGGAAGGGCAGGTGGATTCAGAGAAATTTCTGGAGCTGAGCCCAGCTTCTCCTATACATGTTAATGGCAGCTGCGTCTGTATCGAAAGGCTTTCGTGCTCTTGTCACCATCGAGAGAGGCTCCACTGGTTATTTCTTCATCCACCTACTATCAGCTTTGGCATCCCTCCTGTCGTTTTAGCACCTGTCAATATTTTTCACCTTTTTAGCTACGTGTAAAATACAGCTAACTATGAAATACCATTTTTTTTTCCTCTGCAAGAGACTCTCTGTAATAACCTAAAAACAAGAAAAAAAACAAAAGGCTGGGTAAGGTTTGCAGAGCGTAGGTGTCTCTGTGCATGTGTGTATGAAAATTTAAAACTGCACATCTAAAGAAAAAACAATATCCTAATATGTCCCAGTAAGATTTCTTTAGGCTTGGTGTCTGTTACAGATGACCACCTGGCTTCTACTTCTGTTTTCATCTTCTATTAAATTCAGGGTTTATTCCCATTCTGCATTTAGCTTGGCTTTTAACATTTTTGTCGTGTTAATTGTTCAATTTTTCTCTCCCCCTCTTCAGAACAATTGTAAAAACAGACAAGTCCTTTAATCCCTAATTCTTCCTGTGCTTGTGTCACATAAAAATGCAGGGATTCAGATTCTGGTCTGGGAGGAAGCGCCATGAAAGAAGTTCACTCTGACTGTGGAGTCTCTTAGGAAATTCATAAATCCATCAGGAACTCTGTTTATTCTCAGTATCTCATCAGTGAATTCTTAAAATATATTAACAATTAGTAACATTAGCTTTCCTCCCGATAATAATTTGAGACATGAGGAGTGATAAAACATAGGTTGCAATCTGGATGATTTTATTAGCCAGTAACTCCTTGCCCTGCATTGTCATCACATCCAGGGACATTATCTGGCCTGTTGCTGGCCTTAGGTTAATAACATCCTGAAGATAAATCTTCCTCTAATTGCCCCTTTTTCATCTCTGGATGAAGCACAGAAGAGCTAGAACCAGTGTTTTTCAGTAAAGGAAGTTCACTCGTGCACAAACTGCTAGGGAAGTTTGGACCAATTCGGGATCTCACTGGTTTTGAAGTATCCCGGGAAAAAACAGCTTTCCAAAGGAATTTATTGTGCTTGCCACCCATTAGGGAAAACCCGTTCGTGCTTTGTAGCTTTATGAGCTGTACTGAGCACAGCTTCCCACAGAGACTAAGCACCAAAACCCCCTACCTGAGAGGAATCCTGGTTTTGGGAAAAACTCTTTAATCTGCTGCTACCAAAGGTGGACCTTTAGAAACCCACCTTTCTTTTCCAGGCAGGTTCCTGGGCCTCCTCAGTGTGCTAATCAGCAGTTCCAAAATGAATGAAAGCACCAGACTTGTCATCATTGCCTGGAGGCTACCTTTGTTCATAAATATTTTGGGCAAATATGGGTTTAAAAGTGCAATTTGATATGTTTTAAATCAATTCATATTTCCTGTACTCAGAAAAAAATCTGTTTTCTGAAATCCTCTTTCAGTTAAGCAGCTGTCTCTCTCATATCCAGAGTGTCTTGTTATTATTAAAAGTACCGTTTTTTTCCTTCGTATTATGATATTTGTTTGTAAATATGGAAAGCAAATGTGACAGGAAGCTGCTTGGTATTTGCGTTTACATCTTCACAAGCCTAGTCGATAACAGCATTACAATCATACATACTTAGGGTACATGAACACCTAAAATAGGCCATTTCAAAAGTGGTACATGGAAGAGGTCCCCAATCTGATTAAAAATTGTACAGTAACTTCTTTGTGGGGGAGCAACCAGGTTAGCAGACTTCAGCCTGAAACGATCCGTAGTGCTGAGGAGGAATTAATGGGGTTCCCCAAAAGGATGAGTGGCCTGGAGAAAACGAGCAGCAAACGATGATTCATTTTGTTTCCTAACACACAGATGAAGGGACATCAAAGGCCAGGGATGGGTCACGCTCAGGGCAGAAAGGAAGGTGCCTTTGCTCCCAGCGTGTCCTTAAACTGCAGAGCTCATTGCAGCTGGCTTCGGAGTTTCAGGAAAGAGAGAAGCTGAGCAAATTCATGGGGAGATAATCGGATGAATCGGAGCACTATTGAACACTCCGCAGCCCTGGGGCTCTGTTAGCGGCTTATGCAGAAGGGGAAGTGGTGTTTAGAGTGACTTAAATTACAGTTTAAATGGCCTGAAACAGAAAAATCTGTGCTTATTGCATGACAGGTAGAAAATGTGCAAAATTGTTTCTGTGTAAAGGGTATTTAATAAACAGAAATTTGGGTTGAATGACAGCTATTAAAATAAACACTGAAATAAGCAAAAAAAGGTAAATGTTCTTGTTGCATATGGTAACTCGCAGTACGTATATCAGTGTTGCATGCTTCAAATAGGAGGGGAAAAAGATATTTGGGGATCTTTTAAATGAAAACGCAGCATTTGCAGTGTGTAGGGGGAAAACTGCTTCTGATGTGTTTGTACATTTGCTTGTTCATTGTTACCTGGTAGGATTTTACAATGTCCGTTTAAGGTAAATGAAACGTTCCTCTTTCCATAGAAATTAGTTCTGACAGTGGTTTTTTCTTGTCACACTCGGACTTCTGTATGTTTTGTCCCCCTCTTCTCGGTGTCTGTTTTTATAGCATGGAGGAATGTGTGGCAGGGAGCTCTGTGAAGCGCAGGCAGGGGCAGTGACTGTTCCCCCCCTCCTCCCGTGTGTCTGCCCATAAATGCAGCTCCGTATTGCAGGGTCCTTGCAGGGGCTCCACATAGGGCTGTCCAGCCCCAGCATCTCCCTTTCTTGCCTTATTCTCAGCTGTTAAAACCTACACCAGAGGTAGGGGATTTGAGGGATTCCTGCGTGTTTGGGTTGCTGGGCTTGACAGCCATTAGTGCAAGACACAGAGGGGAATGGTGGGGCCACCTTGCTCTTAAAGTGTGTCTTGAACAGTAACAAAGAGCTGTGACTAGTGGGGACCTCTTTTGTTTTCAGTTATCGACGTGGAAAACAGTCCTACTCATCCCTCTAACTTTTGATACCCGAATATCTTTTTTGTTGCCCTCCTAACACACTTATCTCCCCCTACCCCAGTGTGGGAATACAGGGAGATACGAGGAGGGAAACCCAAGTGGGACGTTGGGAAAGGGGTTAATGCAAGAAACCAGCTGAGAATTGTGTGGTGTTCATTACTGTCTTACGATATCTGCTCTCTTCTCCTCTAGGACGTAGGATAAAAATAATCGTTATAGGAAGGAGTTTCTAAAAGCTCAAAATACAGAACCTGAGTAGAGATGTGAAAAACTTCAGTTGATGTTTGAAGTACTGTAACCTGTAAAACCGTCTCTTTTGTCACCCTAAAGCCCGAAGTAGACCTCTGTCTTTAGGAGAAGGCAGTCACAGTGTTAATTAAAAGAGAAAATTTATCAAGATGCTTTCACTCTTACTAATTCCAGAGATTTTCCTGGATATCCCCTGCATTTTTTCCAAGTGTACTACTTACATTGCAGCCCTTGTGGCAGCCTTGACCCTCCCGAGAGCTCTGGGTCGCTGCTGGAGGCTGGTTCCAGAGCCCCTGGAAAGTGTCGCGGCCTCGGACAAGGGCTCCGAGGCTCCAGCCTGTGCCCCTGGATGAGCCACTGTCTGCCCTGCGTCCACGTGGGCTGGTCCCTCGCTCCTTGTGCTCCAGGGTTTTCTTGTAATGTTCTTAGGAGGGCCCTCCTGTCCTCACAAGTCAGGTGGGGGGGCGTTGTTACTATAATTAACTCTAATTACATTTTCTAAATTTCATGTTTGCTTGTTTATTTTAATAGAGTAAATTAACTTCAGGGAAAAAAAAAAGAGCTTAAACAGATGGGAATTGTGCAATCAGATTTTCAGCTCTCAGTTCCCCCGCTAACTTATATGCAGCCAAGACCTTAACCATGACAGGAGCGCTCAGGAAAATAGGATGCGAAGCCCTACGTATGAATCTGCAAGTGAGCGGCGTGTTTGTGATCGTGCACGGTTCCTCAGTTCCCAGGTCCTTCAAAGCAGGGTGCCACGGTGCAGTCTGGTGAACCTGCATCCACCCCAGGGAAGAGCCAGAGCAACGTATGCACAGCAGTGTATGGTGCCTGGAACAGGCTGCCCAGGGAGGCTGTGGAGTCGCCTTCTCTGGAGGTCTCCAAACCCGCCTGGATGCCGCCCTGTGCCCCGTGCTCTGGGTGTCCCTGCTGGAGCAGGGCGTTGGACTAGGTGATCTCTAGGGGTCCCTTCCAACCTCAACCATTCTGGGATTCTGTGACAATGTATGGAGCACCTTTTCCCTGCCACTGCTGGGCTCTTGTATTGCAGGAGTCCAACTCCTGGCATGTTCTCTCTGCTCTTCATAGCTTTCCTTTAGGAAAACCTATTCTTTGCTTTTATTTTTTTTCTTTCCATGGGGTTTGTGTGACACAGTTCCTATAAATGTCATTTTCATCATGTTTCCTGAGCACCACGTTTTCTGTCTTCCACAAGTGTATTGAGCTGCAGTTGGTTGGTGCACAGGCAGCAGTAGCGATGCTGTTTGTCTCATTCAGTATAATTTGGGCCCTTTCTTCCCAAGGGAAGCAAGCAGCAGGGGGTGGAAACCACCATAAGGATGTAAGCTCAGGCAGATGTACTGCGTAATGAAACAGACTGTCTTCTCACACCATCCAAAATTCTTGGGGATGAGCCCGTGTGCATGAGCTTTGCATTGGAGGCTGGTAAAAGGTAAATAAATGACTTTGCCTCTGGGCTTTTGAGTCCAGAAAAAAAAATAATAAATAAAGCTAAGTTCCTTTCATAAAATCTAACTAGTTTGGATAAAGTGTGAAAAGATGGATGAGCAGCAAGGCTGTAATTTCTGGGAGGCTTCCTTGAGCACTTTGTGTGCGGCTGTCCTTGGGCTCTTCCCTTCTTGCAGGTTCTTGCAGCTTCTGCAGTCTCCTTCCAGAACCATCACAGCTCTTCTCTGATGGATAACATAATAGAATATATATTTTCAATTCAAGCTTATTGTATAGTGTTGTGGACACCAAGCTGCTCCTGGGCTCCGGCTCTCTGGAGCTCTCCAGAGGTTGTTCTGGAAGATTCAGCTGGCTGCCTTGGGAATCACAGTGCAGGAGGGCTTATAGGGATCGTGTGCTCAGACTTTGCAAATGCTTTATACATTTTCCCCAGAATTGCTTGGTGGGCTAGGCCTGCAACCAGCCATTTGGTCTTGTGACAGGTTTTGTGTTTTGGGCCATTATTCAGACATACATTAGCGAATAGCTTAAATATGTGAAACGATTCCAGTTTACAGCAGCTGAGTATCTGGCACACCCACTCTTTCTTGTACAGGGATTTCTTAGGCTGTTCTCCTAATTCCGTGGTTCTCGTGAAGTAAGGTTTCGATGCTTTCATTGAGGATTTTGAACACTGTCTTCCTGAATGAGTTCACTCGAGGTTAAACAGTAATTTTACTTCAGTCTTTGTGGGAGAAACAAGAAAGATCTCCCCTTTTCCCTCTGCTTTGGAAGGCATTTAATTGTAATATTACAGACCAAGAAGTATTCCTCATCAAATCAGGTTGCAGCTTTTTCTGATCTGAGGTTTTTCCTCGTTCCCTGTTCTTTTAAATAAAAGTAAAGCTGGGAGCAGCTTTTGGTGCTTGCCTACCCAGTCTCATAGATCCTTCTCCCTCTTTTTTTCAATTTCATTGAATCATTTATCCTATGCAGTACTTGCTGTCTCCTGGAGCACTGGTCTGTTAAGAAATGAGTGTGTTCTGTTTTCTGCATAAATCACCCAAATCAGCTGTTGCTCCTCGAGCTGCACTTGTGTGAGATGCTGCCTGGCCAAGCCCTGGCTCGCCGGAGTGGGGCAGCCGCCGCAGTGCCCAGGCCCACAGAGGGAGGCCAGAGTGTCCTTACCTAGATTAAGCTGCCAGAGGCCCGATATTTGAGTATTATTTAGGTTTGAAAATCAAAGGATGAAATACCAGACGTGATTGCCTCCGCCGGCTCCCTTGTGCCTCTGCATCCTGCTGTATTCCTCATGGCACAGTGCAGCTTGGCACAGAAGTAGCATCAGTTATAAGATGCATGTATTTCTGTCTCACAACTAGTCTGTATTAAAAAGATACTGCTGATATTCCAGTGCTGTGGCAGGAATTTTAGGCATGAACCACTTCCTTGCATCCTTAACCTCCTCAGCCCTGTGCCAGCGTGGGGCTAGTGTAATGAAGCAATGAACTGGTGCAGGGAATTGGATCAAAGTTGAAACTAATCTGGGAGAAACGAAGTTAATTATAACCCAGATTATTGTAGTCGCCCTGATGGTGGCCCTAGAATGAAAGAGCGGATGAACGAGAGCTGCTTTTGGCAGTCTGTGAGCGGAAAATGTATGTGAAAATACAACTTCTTAATAAAGAGAGTGGTCATTTAACTGCACTCCTTGTGCCTTATTTCTCACTAAACACCTTCAGTTCACTGTCAGGGTGCTCTGTTATATAAGTAATTTGAAGGGAGATATTTTTCTGGATCTCTTGTTTCATTGTGTCTAATAGCTGCCTGAATTAATCTGTACATAAATATGTTTGTATCACAAGAGAAAATATATAGATCTGTTTTTGCATGGCCCAAACACAGCTCATAACTTTGTTTTTGCATTTTCTACCCAGAAGTCAAAGAGCAATCTGCAGAAGAGGATGCCCAGGCTGAAGTGGACGGCACCAAGCAGCTAACACCAGTTCTTCAGCGCTCGGTGTCTGAGGAGTCTGCGAGCTCCACAGCCTCCGTCGGTGTCGAAGCCAAAACCAGGTGGGTGAGCGATGAGACGGGGCAGAATCAGGGCTGGGACGCTGGGGCCAGGGCACAGATGGTGTCGTGAAGCTCGAGGAGCAGCCTGGGGCTGTCGGAAGCTCATGGACAAGGTGCAGAGTGTGTGTCCAAAGTGCTCTCCTCAGGATGGCACTGGAAAACGCTACACTTGCCATACTGTAGCTGTTTAACTTAGAGCATATGAGTAGAATCACACAGAATCACAGAATGGTTGCAAGATGATGGTTGGAACAATGGAAGATGAGGAAATATGATTAGGGCAGTTGTCTTGCTGAAGAAACTATATCTGAAGCTTCTGTTTCTGCTTAGATATTTCCAGGAATAAAATGGAAAAAATCACTCATCTATACCATCTTTTTCTTTACTTCAGAATTTATAAGGCACAAATTAATGTTTGTGTGTTTGTTCTCAATTGTTAGTCGATATAAATTGCCCCAAAAGCAGTGAAAGTAACAAGTGTGTTACAAGAGGAAAACCAAAACAGAAAATATGTGTGGTCGCTGTTGAAACTGTACTATAGAATTGGGACGGAACTTAAACTCTGTTTAAGCCCTTTTATAACTTTAAGCCCTGTACAGGAGATGGCAGCTTTGAGAGTTTCGGGTATACTGATATTCTGACAGAGGAGAATTCTAGTGATTTTTCTTCCTCTTCACCTCTCCCCATACACAAACACTTTATCTACTTGCTTCATTTATCATTTTCATATTTTACTTGCTCACAAGCTTGTTCGTTTCCAAAATATTTTCCTTTTTACTGAGAGTGTCAATAAAATCTTATTTGTATACTTCGGAGTTAAATACACAAAAAACTGTTCTTAATGGAAGTTTCCTAGGCTGGGTAGAGCAGTTTGACTTGAACAGATGTTTTGGTTCTTTATCCTGTTTAGAGTCGTTTGCAGAAGTTGTGCTTAGTCCGGTTTCATCTGCTCTCTGCGTTTCTCAAGGTTACTTTATTGCTGTTATCAGGGGTAGTTGATTACAGTGTTTTCCTCAGCCATAAACTTGTTTCTTATGAGCCAGACAGCTGTCATCCAAGAAAAACCTGTGTGTGAGATACTGAATCAGGCCTTGTGTGTACTCAAGTTGTTAATCTTGCTAACAGAAAGTGCAAATTTTGAACAGTCAAGCTTGAAGGGATATTATGAGTGTAATATTTGGCTGATGAGAATATTTAAAAAGTTAAATTCTGCTATTTCTTCTCATTAAAATAATGAAGATCGCAGATTCACAGATTCACAGAATATTTAAGGTTGGAAGGGACCTCTACAGATCATCTAGTCCAACCTTCCTGCTCAAGCAGGCACACCTAGAGCATGTGGCACAGGGTGGCATCCAGGCGGGTTTTGAAGACCTCCAGAGTAGGAGACTCCACAACCTCCCTGGGCAGCCTGTTCCACTGCTCTGTCACCCTAACAGTAAAGAAGTTGCTCCTCACCTGGAGACGGAACTTCTTATGCTTCAGCTTGTGGCCATTACCCCTTGTCCTGTCACTGGCCACCAGTGAGAACAGCCTGTCCCCTTCCTCCCTGCATTCTCCCTTCCTGAACTTATACATATTAATCATATCCCCTCTGAGCCGCCTCTTCTCCAGAGAAAACAGGCCCAGCTCGCTCAGCCTCTCTTCATACGAGAGATGTTCCATTCCCTTAATCATCCTGGTTGCCCTTCTCTGGACCCTCTCCAGAAGCTCCACGTCTCTCCTATACTGGGGTGCCCAGAACTGCACACAGTACTCCAGGTGCGGCCTCACCAGAGCTGAGTAGAGGGGCAGAATCACCTCCCTTGACCTGCTGGCAACACTCCTCCTGATGCAGGCCAGGATGCCATTGGCCTTCTTGGCCACGAGGGCACCCTGCTCACTCATGGTTAACTTAGTGTCAACCAGGACTCCCAGGTCCCTCTCCGTGGAGGTGCTTTCCAGCAGGTCGACCCCTAATCTGTMCTGATGCCTGGGGTTATTCCTCCCCAGGTGCAGGACCCTGCACTTGTCCTTATTGAACCTCATGAGGTTCCTCTCTGCCCAAGTCTCCAGCCTGTCCAGGTCCCTCTGGAGTCTCCAGCCTGTCCAGGTCCCTCTGGAAAGATCTGAGCTTGTCTCTAGTATTTTGGAAGGAAATGTATTAAGGGATGTGAAACATGACTGGGAGTCTGAAGTTTCTCAGATTCCAGGTAGTTTTGGGTTGAGATTCGGGTGAGAATTGGTGTCATGTTAGTTGCTCACACAGCTGGTTGATCCTCTCATAACGATATAAAACTAAATGGGTTGTGGTAGGGAGGGAACATATCAAGGTTCAGGGTGACTCCTTGGAGACTTGAAGCCTGTAACATAGGAGACATTATATAAGCTTTTCTGATATACATACATACATACTATGGCATAGTGTAACTAACTTAATCCAGTGGAAGTGCTTCTAGATTTAGAAATAAATTGCTATGTGGTTTAGAAGAATTATGGAAGTATTATGGAAGTGTATTGGAACTGGCAGTGCAGCAATTGCCTGGAACACAGAAAAGCAGCAAAGCCTCTCCCAGAAGTTGAAGCAGATGTGGCTAGAGTTACTTTTGCATCCCCTTTCTGAGTAAAGAGCAAGTTTAAGATACCTCAGGGTTTCAGTCTTTGGTAGTAAAGATAAAGGAGTTAAGGAGGAGCATGGCTCATGGAACATAAAATGAAGTCTTTTCCTAACTAAATAATTTCCAATTCGTGTGCAGTAATTTTGACACATTCCCCAGCATCACAGTTGGGAAGGGTAGGTTCTAGTAGGTGAGAAACGAGCCAGAGCTCTCCCTTGTGTGGGGTTTTTTTGTGACCGCTCTGGAGGCTGAGGGGAAATAGGAACATCTGCGAGGAAGGTGGTGAAGAGGGTCAGTTTGGGAACCTTGGAGGTGCACAGAACAGGTGGGAGGGAACTCACTGCAAAGAGGTCAAGGAGGAAAGGTTTAAGAACCGATTTAGGGTCATTGCTAAAAAGCAGTGTGCCAAACCCGCTAAAATAAACGGCATCTGAGCCATAGTGGTGGGGTAGGGAAGGCTGAAAGATGTAAAGGGAGAGAGTATGTGTGAGTGTCTGTACATCTTAAATTAACAAGCAGAAACCAGAATTTTCATACAGTAATTTACTTATTTTAGCAGTACTAAGTATCTGCTCTTCTGAGACTGTCAGTGAAACCAGAGAAAAAAGAGCTGCCCACCTACCTGCTTCCCTCTGTAAGTGAAGAGAGAGCATGGGTTTCACTGCAGCCCCGTGGCACCGTTCCCTCTTAGTTGGGGGCTGCACCTGCTAAGATCAAATTGGGAGTCTGGAGGACTCCAAATTTGGGACGCTTTATTCCATAGGAAACAAGTGGGTGGTGAATATCTGCTGGCTAGGTGAGGAGAGGATAGCAGCCATGGACTTTGTGATCTTTGTTCTTCATCTTTTCTTCTTTTTTTTCCTTTTAATCTTCAAAGGATTGCAAAACTCCTTGCAACACTCAGTATAAAAAGAAATTGTGGCGTGGTGGAGAGATTAGATAATCTAGACAGGATAGCACTGCACTGGTGGCAAGAGAACATAGGTCTTTCATGCGAGAGGGAACTGGTTCAATATATAGAAATGTGCAAAAATTGCTAAAGTTGCAAAATGAAACATGTTCTAGGAAATAGAAGGATAACAGAATTAAGTTTATTCGTGGAACTCTGTTTTCTTTCCTCCACATGCGTTGTGATGACTCGTAGTTTTATGTGAATGTTTCTCTACCAGAGTTCATACTGCAGAGAATGGAGCTGACGGGGACATGAACCAAGGCTGCTGAATCACGTTCCTTTTAGCCTGTTAAGTTTTAGACCTGCATCCATGCAAGGACTTCGAATGTTGTCCTCTAAAATCACTGAGTGACTTCTGTGTGTACAGAGAGGAGGTACCTCTCCACGTGTTGCAAAACTGAATTACGTAGCAGTAGTGAAATGTTCAGGCATTAAATTAATGGCCAATCAAGGCTGGAGTGGAACCACGAATTGTGCTTCCAGAGCACAAATTGAATATTGTCAGTAGATAAAGACTAGAGGCAACATGCTGAAAAATGAGCCCAAGTTAAATATTTACTGGTTGTCCATCCTGTTCATCTCATACATTGACTAGGGAAAGAGTCTGGAGATAAATGGGATGACTGATCGTTCCTGAAGGACTTCTGCCTCAGCTTCAGAGGGCAGGAAGAGACCTTTGGAAGTCATCTAGGTTACTCTGTGTGCCCAGGGTGGATCTCCCCATGTCATTTGTGACAAGCGTTTGTATGAACCCTTTTGGAAGGTTCAATAATAAAAATTCCATATTTTCACTGAACAACATTTTCCAGTCGCTTCCTTGCTTCTACTAATGGCTTTTAATAGGTCTAACCTGGGCTTCCTTCATGCAGATTTTAACCCATTGCACTTGTTCCAAAGATAGGGAGGATAGATGACTCCCTTCAGCTTTGCAGGAGCCTCTTGGTGTGTTTCCCCAGGGCACTGGAGAACCAAACTTGGAAATTTGTTGCTGCTTTCCCTACAGATCCTGTTTCCTTGAGCTCAGAGGATTCCCTCCCATTTGAGTTCCTCCAAGCGGTGCTCAGCTTTCTGTAGAACTTAAAACTATAAAACACCCCCGCTCATATTACACTTGACACTTGTGACTGAGCAGCCAGGGCGAAGCCTTTCGAGCAGTTGCCCCGTCCTTCCCTGCTTGAGTTACAGGGTTACATACCCACGTAACAGCGGCCACCACGGTTAGAAATAGCCCAGTAGCCCCTGTGTCATGCAGCAGGTTCCCCAGCTGTGCAGGGCGGTCCCTCTGTGGGCCACTGCAGCCTCCCAGGTGCTTCTCAGGCAGTTTCTCTCTGCCACTCTGTGCAGGCTGCCTCTCCTCACTGGTTTCTGCCTCCACGCAGCTGCCCTGCCAGGGCAGAGCCATTTGCTCTTTGAGCAGATGTTCTTTCCTCTGGAACGTAGGTTCTTCAGTC